AATATAATATAATGCTAACACTGGATTAACGTTAACACTGGATTAAACATGCACATTTTAAACCCTGCCTAGCATTTATGACTAACGATTCGCATTTGCACATATCATATATTCAAGCACAGTAAAATGCGCATACGAACATATTGTTACTAGAATAATTTTAATGCGATTCTAACCCTGCAAACCCCCACAGTTCGCATATCCGTCCCCCGATTTGATTGAACCTACACTTTACATACATATGAGCGATTAGAATGCTTCTAATGACATTCTCATACCGTAACTCCGTTTAGGGTGGAATCTATTATAAAAAAAAATTAAAGTCGTTTAATGTTTAGTGTTATTGTTCATAGTGTTATCAGTTTACATGTTATAGAGTACAGGTGATCCCCCGTATACTTCGGGTTTCGGGACCAGAACGTTGTGAAACGATTTACAACGAGGAACTTTCCCTGCCAGAGCGCAAGCCGCTAATGAAAAGAACACGGGGCGGCGGGAACACGTGCTTCCATGGGCGGTCGTAGACAGGTTGTATTGCCCAAAGGTGACACCGGGTACGTCCCCCAAGTTGCTCCGCCCATGGCGGGGTCTGGTAGAAGTCATGGAGGTGAAATGGCCGCAGTGTGTACGCATGTAGTTATGTCCGTCCCCACCCAGACAGCTCATCCCCATGTCCTGTAGAGCCCAAGTCTGGTGTGTCCGACGTGGTGGGGCGCTCGGCAACGGAAACCGTACGCCAAATGAAATGTGTTGTGGCGCCCACAGTTTCCGAGCCCCTGAGGCCCGGGGTGCCTCAAGGATCCGCCACGTGCGAGGTGCCCAGTCATATTCTTCAAAAGAAGCCAAGGACCTGCCTAAGCCTTCAAGGCTGTGATGTGAGTCCTTGACGGAAAGGCACAATATTCCATAATGGGCGAGGGACTGGCATTGAGAACCAGGTCAAAATGCGCAAGGTTGCGCTAGTAAGCTCCACTCCCAACCCACGAATTATCGAAGGGTTCCTTTGGACAACGTGGAAATGTATTAGATGTATTGTTGTGGTTATTGTGTTGGTTTGTTGATGTTGTCGAGTGAGTGTGGTCACACCGCTTACCCCTTGCAGTTGCCTGTTAAGATTGTGATTGTTGGGCGACAGGAAATTTTGCTACAGCTGCTGCCCTGATGCACTTGGCTTCTAAAAACTGTTGTTGATGTAAAGACAGCGCATCTACTAAGGGACAAGTGGTGACAATAGGAAAGAGAGATTATTCTTTGGTTCTTTCGGTAAAGTCACGTATAAAGATAAAATAATAAATAAAATGAAATACTAGCATACGACGTTTCGATTGCAACACAAGCAATCTTCATCGGGTATAAATTAAATAGAAACACAAATCTAGTATACTTAGAAATGTAATGTAATACAACAGAGAGTCGGATAACATAACAGTCAACACCCTATCTGGTTGATTACCTTCTTCCTGAGAATGCTAAATTTGAGAGAGAGATTAAACACAGAACCAGAAACATAGACAGACATATAAGCAGACAGATATCACAGAGATGCATAGAGAGAGAGCAAACATAGGCACAATGAGAAACTAAGCCTCTGTGTTGAGGCCTTAAATAGAGAAAGGGGGGCGGGGGCGGGGAGAGAGGGAGGGGTTAGAGAAATTAGCATGTCCATGAGTGGAAACGGTGAGTGGCAAGGTGTAAAAAGCTTGAGAGAGGGGGGCAGGGGCGGAGAGAGAGGGGTTAAAGAAATTAGCATGTCCATGAGTAGCACGATGAGTGTTGCAATCGAAACGTCGTATGCTATAATTTAATTTATTATTTTATCTTTATACGTGACTTTACCGAAATAATCAAATAATAATTCCTGCAGTCACGAAAGCTCCAAATTAAGTAGGAAAGAGAAAGTTAAAGAAGGGAAGGCGGGACAAATGGTGGTGGGAAATTCTCACCACGACTAAGAGAGGAGGAGGAACCACGTTCAGGGCTCTTTTGGTGGAATATCGGGTCGTGACATTTTGCTGCCTCGTCGTTTTCGTTGCTATAATTGTTGGATCTATGCCCTGTTTTCCGTTATTAATATTAAGAATAATTAAGAAATTTTTTTTTTTTAAATTAAATAATGAAAACAACTCACGGGCACACCGGGAGTCCATGAGACATGGAGGGCGGTTGAAATGATAGGAATTCGGTCACAAAAGGTCATATACATCCAGACAGACAAAAAGATGTATGGACTAAACCTCCCGAGACATCTGGAGATGTACAGATAAGGTGCAGAGTGAATGACGGTTGAAGCTTCGCGTTTTCTTGGCGTTTTCCTAACCGAAAAGTAGAAACTTAACAGAAAGAATGAACCAACAAACAATAGGGGCTTTTTTATTAGTAATTTCCTTGTATTTCTCGTATTCACCGTATATATATTATTTTTGTATTGTATGTTTCTATCTACCTGACCAGAAAAAATAATAATAATTACGAATTCCAACAGTTAAGGAAGCATAAGTGGAAACTTAGTTGCACTTAACCTCAGGACATTAAAATATAACTCAAGAATAAATGTAACATACAGGACCACATAATGTATCGCATACATCTCCTCGACCACCTTTGTCTTCCAGCGGTGTCTGACCTCAGAATGACCCACGCAGGGCAAGCAAGGAGGGAGCAAAAAGGTCACAGGGGGGAATCGGTGCCTGACATTCCAAAGACATCTGTTTTGTTGTTTGTTTTCTCTCGCAAGAGACGCGGAGAGAGGAGAGGGGAGTCACGTTTTGAGTTAGACACAGCACACAACACAGTCTAGTCCGAGTCGAGCTCAGCGTTGCGACGGGGCACGCAAGGGAGCTGTGGCAGTCGTGCCTCGAGAAGAGATGGGACGACGAGACATCGTTAAAGTGGCAGCCTGAGAGCAGTCTGGGTCGAGTCGTGCTCAGTCTCGCAACTCGGCTTGCGACGCAGCGTTGCGACAGGGCTCGCAAGAGAGCTGGGGCAAATCGTGCCTCGAGGAGAGATGGAACGAGGAGGGGTCGTTCGAGTCGCAGAAGTCTGAGTTCAACCTGGGTCGGGGCTGGGTTTCAGCCGTGCTCCGGCTGGCGGAGCGTCGTGAGGAAACGAAACACCGATGCCGATAGCAGGTGTCGCTTCTCGCAGAACGAAGTTAAGTGCGAGTGAAGGTGGCAGCCGCACGAACAAGGGGAACACGGAGCAGAGAGAGTGACGAGTGACGACAAGCAATCAACCTGTAAAAGGGTGGAGATCGCCAAGCGTCGACCAAGCGAGCAAAGCAGAGAGCGCGAAGCAGTGGAGGAAGCCTGGTCAAACGGCTGTGAGGGAGAGGACAGCGCCATCGAATGCGCCGTGTGCCTGAGGGCACACCGACCAACGACCAGTGTGAACACACAAGACGTCCAGAGCGACGGCGAGCATCGTGCCGACTCAACAATCAATCGAGCAGTGGAGAAGCCGGGGGCTGCCACCAAGAAAGCGCGAGCGCCACCCAGCGCCACCGAGTGACACGAGCGACCGAGCATCTTCAAGGACAGCATCGTGCCAACTCGTCATCTAGCAGTAGAGAGAGAGAGCGCACGAGCAGCACCAAGCCCCCGGAACCATCAAGCGCCAAGCAAGCAAGTTTCTTCAAGGAACATCGTGCCAACGCCGCTCAATCCAGCAGTGGAGAGAAAGAGAGCGCACAAGCAGAGACGCGTCCGAGCGAGGGAGCAGCAGGAGCTTGCGGCGGCCACGCCCAATCGAGAGGAACACCTGGCCGCTGTTTGTATCCTCCTACACCACACAAGCTAACGACACAATTAATATTACGAGAGGACAACGCACACACAGCACGCACACGAATAAGACTTTCAAAAAGTGATCTTTGCGTTTCAAAAAGGGTTGCCATTTCGAGGTGGTGCGTTCAATATCAACTGATCGTGCAAAGCAGTTGCTGCCGTCGAGTTACATGAATAAGAAATGTTTTAGTCATTCATTTTCGTTAACTGCATAATTTCGCCAATGAAGAAGTATTTTTAGTCATTCAATTTCGTTAATTGCATAAGATGGCCCATGAATTTATTGATGTATACTCGCTTTCGCATACTAGAGTGTCATGTGCTTGTTTAGAATTAAAATTGCTTAACACCAACTGTTCGAGTGCTTCTTTCCAAGTCCATGCAAAACTATCTTATTCTTGATAGCTGTATCCTGTGATGAGATCTGAACCTGGTGACCTAAAGATAACAAACACACTAAGATAATCAGCAAATGTTTAATCGATGATAATCGTGTTATACTGATTGATATAACCCTGGATAAACGAAACCAGGCCTAATTAACATAACTGCACACATTAACATAACCGCAAGCATCCGCATAAATTACTACGATTATCTCTACGATTATCATAATTTATGTTAATACACACACTATCATAATTAATGCGATTTGCGCATTTTTTGGAAAATTATTAATTTTTAATATTTTCATCAAAATTTCATAACCCAACACATACAACATAATGGGTGGCGTCGTCCGGGATCTCTCGCAGACAGTGTTTTGCATGGATGATGGAATGAATCACTTCGTGTTAACCAGAATATCGGGATCGAACATTGCATGGTAATTGTGAACGGGCGGAAAACTAAAAAACGCCCTCTAAGGTTAAAACCCAGAATAGCAGGTTAAAACAGAGACAGTGGAATTAAGATAATACCGTATCAAACCAATTGCATCCTGTGATAAATGGTGTTAGAGGTACGCACTCTGAATCGGAAAATAACAGATAGCTCGAGTCAAATTGACTACACTCTGTGAGATAATTGTTTTATATGCACTCTAAAAAGGAAATGTCAAAGTAACTCTTGCCATACCTAAGATGCTAGGATTAAGAATAATTTTTGAATGGGTTACGGGATACTGCGAGCTCGTATTAAAACGTACTGACCAATCTGTTATAAAGCAGTACAGTCAGAGAGACATATGGGACGGGAGCTGTATCGATAACACGAACACACCTCGGGGGAAACTAATTGACTGGATAAAATGTAACGAAGGCGAACACGATGCAAAAACTGCAGAGAAGGCAGGACAGGACTCATACCTTCTCACACAGGCATACAGACAGGGATTGTGGAATGAGGAAAAATTCGGAAAGGAAACAGGAGAGAAATCGTCTCTAATAAACGAGGAGAAATGTCCCCACATCCTCGAGAGGGATGAGAAATCAGTGCTCGCGACACCAGCGAAACTCACAGATGTTGATCCACAGACTAAATATGGAAGTAACATTAAATCACACTCTTGGGTACGTGGACAGAGTCCAGGGACTAATCGCACAAAAATTATGGATATCGAACAAAAAATCATTGATAAAGGGAAACCCTCACAATTCGAGAGAAGGGATGGAGAGATACATATGCAAACAAAAACATGTGAGACTGACAACTTCACAGATAGAGGGAGGAAAAATGTTAAAGTAAAGTCGACAGGACATGCTCCACTAAGGGCAGAGGCAAAAACTGAAGGGAAATGGCAACACGAGCGACACAGCACTGGGCGCGCACACAAAAAATGCACGCCACTTAAACACAAGCGACACAGCACAGACCAAAGTGACAGATTGCCTGATGATAACTTGTTTGATGATGACGCTGTCGGCAATCAACTTTCGGAATACCTATTCACCAGTAAAACCCTTAAGTTGATGGACAAGGCTCTAGTCAGAATTCCCGATTTTGACCCCCACAATAAGTCCATGGATATACATACACATATCGCGACAGTGGAAGAGGAGGCAATGATTAGAGGGCTGATGAGACGGGATGAAAAAGCGAGTTTGTTGAAACGAAGCTTACATAAAGATTCTATCCCATGGGTAAAGTCACTACCACACAAGGTTAGGAATGATTTTAAACAACTGAGCCTGACAGTGATTCGGAAGTTTGGAGAATATTCGACACTCACTGAAGGGTTTTATGCTGTAAAATCGATGACCCAGGGCATGGACCAAGATCCACGTGACTACCTCGTACAATTTAAAAGAGCGTATTACGCAGGCGATGTGAATCAATACCACGAAGGAGATAAAATGTTCAAAATTATGTTTTTTGAATCCTTGAGCCCAGAGATTACAGAAAGGGTGAGAATGGTTTTGAATCCAGAAACCGCATCCTTACACCGCATAGAGAGCAAGGCGTACATGGCATGGTTATACAGAGCTAAGAGTCATAATTCGGATCCAGAACACAGGGAGAGGGATAAGGAACCCAGCCTCTCAGAGAGAAATAAAAATCACCGAGCAGTCCCACGATGCAGGGAGGAGCAGAAACGCACGCACACATGGCAAAATAAACCAGAGAGAGGTTGGTACGAGAATGAGAGCGGCACAAAGCCGAACATTCAGGAGAATCACAGAATGTGGAGGCCAAGGGCAGAATCATATCAACACCCCATGCCCCGACACACGCAAGGTCAAAATTACCCACAGGGATGGCGAAGTAACGATCCAAAAAAAATTTGGCACCCAAATGGGGAAACACTGGGCCAAAAATGTACGAGAATCGCAGGAGGGAGAGGTTCAGAGCAGAACCATATCAACACCCCATGCCCCGACATGCGCAAGGTCAAGATTACCCACAGGGATGGCGAAGTAACAATCCAGGAAAAATTTGGCACCCAAATGGGAAAAACACTGGGCCAAGGGTGTACGAGAATCGTAGGAGGGAGAGGTTCAGAACAGAACCATATCAACACCCCATGCCACGACACACGCAAGGTCAAAATTACCCACAAAAATGGCGAAGTAACAATCCAGGAAAAATTTGGCACCCAAATGGGAAAAACACTGGGCCAAGGGTGCAGGAGAATCGTAGGAGGGAGAGGTTCAGAGCAGAACCATATCAACACCCCATCCCACGACACACGCAAGGTTCAAATTACGCACAGAGATGGCAAGATAACCACCTAGCGGGAAGGTGTTACACAGACCGCGGAGGTATGGATGCGAACATTCAGGAGAATCGCAGGATGGGAGGTCAAAAACAATCGATCCAATTCCGACCAATTCCTCCACCGGCTATACCAGGAGGGAATAGAGGAATAACACAGAATGCGGTCCAAATACATGATAAACAACCCACAGTGAGCGCGAGCGAGCGGCCAACACGCGCCCCACCCGCCGAGGTGCTAAACCCGGAGCTCAATGGGAAATACAGGCAGGCTGCAAGTGACAGAGCGGGCAAAAACGTGGACAGTGCTCCCGTAAATGACGCGCGGATCGAATACAAGGACAGGGTTGCATTGAAGCGTGATCGGACAGTACAAAAACAGACAGCAGGGACACGCCCTGAGGAGCGCAGGCATGAGCCTTTGAATGGAAAATATCCAAGGGAAACCAAAAATTATGTGGATCGGAGTGCTAAAATGGAGACGAATGTCCATGACGTATCGGGAATGGTGTTGAAATCCAACACACTCGTAAAAACAAAGAGGGCAACATTACGAGGGACAGAATTAAATCGACACACTGACTCGGCAAATGTGCATGTAATCGCAGAGAGAGCGAATGCCTCGAACCAAGTGTCAAAATGGGTCGTGTGCGCGAATTCTGGATATGTGCAGCACAATTTTTCACCACACACTCCCACGACGCGAGAGAGTGAGAGAGGAAACTACAAAAACGAACCCGAAAACCGTGATCGAATTATCAAAGTGATAAGTGGTAAACGAGGCAACATGAGGAAGGTAACGCATAAATGCGTTCGAAACCGCTACCTAGCGTTTCCCAGGATTTAACAAAAACAAAAATGAATATTCGTCGGAGTTATGATGTATGAGAACCGATGTAACGCAATATCGATGTTAACGTGTTGTTATTTTCTTTGCTTAATTCAAATGTAACCAGGATTTAACAAAACAAAATTGAATATTCGTCGGAGTTATGATGTATGAGAACCGATGTAACGCAATATCGATGTTTAACGTGTTGTTTACTTTCTTTGCTTATTTCAGATGTAACCAGGTTAAGATTGTAATACGTGCACGCGCGTCGTAAGAAATAACCGCCGAGAGTAAGGGCGGCTGATGGGATGCATGACATAAAAAGGGGGCATTACTTTGTTTGAAAATTCGCCAGTGGCCAAATCGACCCCTGATAATTTTCAAACGGGCGGACTGTTGTGTATGTACCCCCTTTTTATTTTTTTTTATATTATTTTTTTTAAGAATTATTCTGCCAACATAGATAATATCGTTTTTTTTTTAATAGACGCGGCCACGTGGGAACGAACACGCCCCCACACTTCCACAGAGGCCCCCACACTACCACAGATGTGCGCACACCTCATTTCAAAGGAAAGAGGACATGAAAGGGGGGGCAATAAGGTAATAAAAACTCCCCTAAATTCACACAAGAGGAACAAGGGAGGGGGGGGGGGAATTGCAGGCGGGGGGGGGGGTCAGCAGGACGTCCTTTTAAAAAAAAAAAACCCCACAGAACCAACAGACACGGAGGAAGAGATAATTATATTCTTAACAAAGAAACAGCATTGACGACAAAAAGCACAGATGGGTCTTTGAACCATGTTAAATACACAAGTTACCAACTTAACCATGAAGATTAAGCAAACAGTATCCATCCTCACTCCAATTGAAAACCAGACGACAGTCTGCACCAGAATCGCGACCCATCATTGTTAATTAAGTACTGACATTATTTACCTTTAAAGAATATCTACACGGCCGGGCCGAAGCATCAAAGAATAATTATGGCATCTATTTCGCTCCAAAACAAATTCCTAGCCGGGATATCAGATCAAATAATCACAAGAAGTCAAATAATAAGTACGGAATTAAAGTAGAAGAGGAATCAAGGGCGGAGAAGGCTCTCAAAATTAACCAAACACAACACCCATGGGAAGCGAGCAACACGGCCGCCTTTGTCTTTCCGAGAGGATCTCCACACACAGGCACCAAGCCAGGAAATGACACCCATAAAGGTTGGGGCAAGGGCTCAAAGGAAATTAACACACGCCTTCGAATAAATAAGCGCATGTGCCGGGTGCTCCCACCGTGGAAACAACCGCCTTTGTCTCCCCACAACACGGACAGCAAAAATTGCACACGCGAGGAAATAACATTTCCATGAGAGATCGGGTCACGATGAAACATCGTGAACACGGTTTCGGCATAACCAAGCAGCAAATAAGTCGCATTTCAACTTCCAAACCAAACCAACTTAAGCTGTGTGAGACAAAGGATGTGATCCCAGAGCAAGGGAGGGAATAATTAGGCTCGCTTAACGCGTAGGTTTTCGCGACAAATATTATTCAGTAACAAAACATGGATTCGAATGTTTTTTTTTATATAACTCGACGCGAATCATCGGTCTGGCTAATGGATAACTTCGGTGGCACCGTCACGAGGCCCCCA